CAGGAGAAGTAGCATGAGCAGACAAAGCACAAGATGAATGAGAGCACAAATGAGGAGGAGCAGCCGGAGCAGCAGCATGAGAGAACAGGAGAAGCAAACGGAATACCCGGAGGCGCAGCAAGACCAGACGGAACAGCCGCAGAAGAGGAGCAGGAAAAAAACATCACGAGCAAGGAGAGGATCAGGAGGAGCTCCGCAGAAGCGCGTCAGCGCGTCCGCATGGACTGGGCCTCGCAAGGCCTCTTGGGCTGGCCCCCACAGGGCCTCCGTCTCTGATGACCTTTTTTCGCCTCAGGGCACTACAGCCAGAACGGCTGCAGAAGATGCATGTGTCAAACATGCGCGTGAGACCATCCCAACAAGCAATTTAAACGCATAGAGACAAAAGCCTTGGGTTTCAGGGGGGGCGTTTCTGTGCGGCACTCCTCCCTGGGCCCACGTCTTAGACAGGGCCCGCCTCATGGGACAGAAACCGCCCTGGGAGACTCTAGCCTCAACTCAACCTGGATCTTCTGCCCTCGGGCCCGTTGAGCTATCCCCAGAAGGCCAGCCCCCCGACGCCGGGCTCATCCCCGCGCCCTCGGGCCCACCGGGGAAGAGACCCCCTTCAAACAAGAGAGGCGCGCAGACGCTGCGCGCCAACACGCATAAGGCGGCGCAGCGCGCCACGGCCCACCAGCAGGTCCTGGACCATCCGGGCTTTCAGCCACCAGCAACAGATACCCAGCCGCAGGCGCTCCTCGCGAAGACCCGCGGCGCTCCGCATCCAGCACTGATTGATGGGCAGCGCCCGGGCGCGCCTGCTCGTGAATCCCTCGGGAACGAGGGCCAGCTCGTGGCCCGCCGGCGCGGAATGCTCCTCCTCGCTGATCAGCTCCCAGAGACCCATCGGGAACTTCATCGGCGACTTGTAGACGCGATGTCCAGTCCACGCGGACAGGAACACAATCGCCAACGTCGATCCGAACATGGCCGTGAAGACCGTCGTCCAAATCGGCCCCATCACCGTCGGGCTTCTCGCGACCATGACCGCGTAGTTGGCCGGGGCCAACTCTCCAGCTCCTCGAGCTTCTCCGATTCGCGTCGCCGCCAGCAGCACCCCGAACACCCGCGCTCGCCCCGAGGGCGGCGCCCGAAGCGGACGCATTGCCAGCAGCTCCACGAACTTGGGCCCCTCGAGCGGTTTGGTCTGCATGTCCGCCCTGTCGACGTCCGCGTGGGTCTTCGCCGTCGATATCGTCTCGCCCCTGACATTCCCCTGCGCCAGGGATCATTTCGTCTCCGAGCGTCGGACCACCCCGCGTCCACGACGCGTCGCGGCACCCCTGGCCCCAGAGCTGTCGACGCTGACCTGCAGCACCACGTCGATCCCGATTCCCTGCAACACGTTCTTCAACCAGATGCCCCTGCCCGAGCCGTTCGCGACACCCGCGAACTCCGCCCCCGCGCTGCCCGGCGCGCGGTCGCCTTGCCGGCCGCCCCGGCCGTCGACGAGGGGCGACCCGATAAACTGGAAGCTGCCGCCCACCGATCTCCGCCCAGGCTCGGAGGCCGAGTCGCTGTCGACTTCCGCCACGATCACCCCGGGCATCCTCTGGAACTCGATGAACAGCTCGAGCTGCGGGCGCTGCTCCAGGTAGCTCGCCAGGCGCTGCAGCAGAAGCCAGCGGCGCAACGTCGGGGCCGCCACGCTCCTCGCGAGGTGCCCCACGGCCTGCTGAACGTGGGGCCCCACGTCGTGGGCGACGCGCAAGGCTGTGGGAGCCATGCTGCGGCGCGCGGCTGCGTGCTCCACCGCGCGCTCACCGGCCGACCCCCGCAGTCCTGGCCGGCGGTCTTGAACAAGGGCGCGATCGCCCGCATGGCAGCCTGCACTCGCCGACCTTCATGTCGAGCACGGTGCTGACCAAGCTCTCGACACGCCTGCGGTCGCGCTGAACGCAGAAGCCCTCCGAGCACCACGCGACCGTCCTCCTGAGAAAGCTCCCTGGCCCGACTCCTCCACGCCGAGGGTCGTCGACCCGCGGCATCACCTTTACCATGAGGCGCCCCTTGATCAAGTCGTCGAACCAGCGCAAAGAAGCCCCCCCCCCCGCAGACAGGAAGTCGCCACTATGGACGCTGACCATCAGCCCCGTCTCCTTGTGGAAGTAGACCTGCACCGCCACCTTGACCTCAACGAAGCCGCCATTCCCAATGGCCACCGCGATCAAGTTCTGGAAGAGGAACGAAGCCCCCCGCGCGCCACACAGGGCGCGCTTCAGCTGGCACGCGATGTTCTCGGGCTCCTCGCCACGGGGAAGAACCACGTTGATGTCCCCATCGACGCACGCGCGGCGGAATGCCACCGACCGGCCTATTCACTGCGGCAGCCCGCCGCGAGGTGTCCAGCCTCACCGCGATAGCGGCACGAGCAGGCATCACGGCGCTTGTCCTCGGAGTCGCCTTTGCCCTTGCCTTTGGAGTCGCCCTTGCCCTTGCCTTTGCCGCCCTTGGCCCT